CACCTGCTTATCCATCCCATATAAGCACGTCAGTAGCCTCCGTGCCATTCTTCCTACCTGTCTCAGAATAGTCCTTCCTCATTGCTTTTACTTCCAACCTCCTCAATGACCCCAGGAACTTCACATCATCAATGATACATTTCAGCCTCTCAATCGGTACTTCCCTGCCCCAGCAACGTAAGTCCTTGATAAAGCTGAAGTGTAAAAGCCACCTTCCTGTCCCCCACCTCTACCCACCCCACTGCCCCCATCCCAGCCTGGGCCCCTGAAAACACTGAGCTGAGAGCGACAGTTTACTTGGTGGGGAGGGCAAATTGGAAGAGCATCTGTATAAATCTGCAACTCACCAGAGACATCTCAGAAGAAAGGAAACTGTTTCCAAGGCTGTAGTCATTTACTGTGATTTCTCTCTTTGTTCTTAATAAATAGATACTTCACATGTATGTTTGCATTCATAAAGCGTGAATTCTTTCTAATAAAGAGGACCTTTCTGATGCTCTATGCTTCTGTTACCATGGAAACTGCGTCCGGTCCAGTGGTTTTCCAAGCATCTCTGATGCTATCCACTCTTCCTGGACCTCGCACTCCCTCCAGCTGTATGTCCATCTTTTGTCTCTGTTCTTCTGACTCAATCTTTTCAAAAGATGAGTTTATACTCATCAATCCTATTCATTTCAGCCCATTCATTTTTACCATGTGTCGTGGATTGAATTGTATCTCCTTCTCCCCACAAACAGACATGTCTATCCCAAACCTGTGAATGTGGTCTTACTTAGAAGAAGTATCTCTGCAAATACTAGCAAGGATTTTGACATGAAATCCTGGATTTAGGCTGGGTCCTAAACCCAGTGACAGGTGTCCTTGGAAAAAGAGGGAAGACCTGGAGACAGACCACAGAGAGTGAAGGGAACGTGGAGCCAGAGTTGTGGAAGGGCTTCAAGACTGGACAGCGACCACTAATTCCGGAAGAGCAGCAGGGAGCAGGCTCTCCTTCCCAGCCTGAAGAGCAATGAGTCCTGTCCATACCTTGATTTTGGACTCTGGGCACCAGAACTGTGAGAGAATCAAGTTCCATTGTTTTAAGCCAAGTTTATGGGGATTTGTTATAGCAGCCACAAGAAACTAACACAGTCTGCCACCACCAGTGGCAGGCCAAGTCTCTGAGACTGCTCAGGCTGAGGTCACCAGGGTTTTTGGTCAAAATGAAATGGGTATATTTCACTGCTTGTCTTGCTTGACTTTTTTTTTTTTTTTTGGCAGCACTGGGGTTTGAACTCAAGACCTTGCACTTGCTAGGCAGATGCTCTACCACTTGAGCCACTCCCCCAGCCCTTGTTGCTTTAGTTATTTTTCACAGAGTCTCTCATTGTGCCTAGGCTGTTCTGGACCACAATTCTCCTATTTATGCCTTCATGTAGCTGGGAAGATAGGCTGACACCACAAACAGCTTTTTATTGGTCAAGAACAGTTCTCACTAACTTTTTGCCTGGGCTGGCCTTGAACCACAATCCTCCCAACCTCTGCCTCCTGAGTAGCTGGGATTACAGATGTGAGCCACCTCGCCCAGCTCTCCACTTGACTTCTCCTTCTTAAATACTCTCCTGCAGTGATCTTCACTTTTCCGCGGTCTAGAACTCTCTTCTAAGTTACAAATTCAGACTGTGTAACACAGGTAAATCGTGTTCATCCTCACCTGATGTTTTCTGCCTTGGAGAATGACTTCACATCGACCTAGTGATCACGTCAGCACCAGACATCATTCTAAACCCTCCTCACTCCCCACATCCAGTCCAGCACTCAGGCCTAAAAGACCTGCTTCTTTACTCTCTAAAACACCCTCCCTTTCTTATTATTCCAAACGTGACCTTCCAGATCCTGCTCTCTCCAAACCACCAGGCACACTGTCACCAAACGGATCTTCCTGAAAACAAGCCCAACTGAGTTATTGCTTGGAAAAATCCACGACCCTCCTCACAACTCTCAGAACAATTAATGGCATTTCTGCCTATGCCTGTAGCCTCATCTTCGAGCACTATTTTTTTTTCTGTGTATGGTGCTGGAGTTTGAACTTGGGGCCTCATGCTTGCAAGGCAGGCACTCTCCCACCTGAGCTATGCCTGGATCCTTTTGCTTTAGGTGTTTTCGTATCAGGGTTTCATGTTTAAGCCCAGGCTGGCCTGAACCACAGTCCTGCCTAGCCTTTCTGTGTGGCTGGAATGACATGTGTGTTCCACCATGCCTGGCTTTTTTTTTTGGTTGAGATGAGGTCTCACAAACTTTTTTTGCCCAGACTGGCCTCAAACTGGGATCTTCCCAATCTCCACCTCCTGAATAGCTTGGATCACAGGCGTGGACCACTGTGCCCAGCCTTCTAGCACTATGGCACAAGTATGTTCCACCCTCACCCAACAATATGAGTTAGATAACTTAAACACACCTGCTGCTACGTCCCTAGTCCCTCTGCCTGGGCCTCCCTTCTTCCCTTTAACCTATCTACTTCCCACCTTTTCAAACACTTGATGTTCAAAAACCATGTTATCCAGAGTGCTCTTCTTGACAGTGGGCTAGATTGCTTTAGTAATAACAAATTTACTTTAATTACAAAAGTCATCCATATTCATTTTCAAAAGCTTGGAAAACTACAAGCAGAATCCTACCTACAACTGTTAGGATTGCATTTAGTGTGCAAAAGACTCAGAACGGCTCACACAATGTTGAAGAAGAGCAGATTTGGAAGAATGACAGTGCACAACGTCAAGGCATACTACAAACCTACAGTAATCACGGCAGCGTGGTGTTGGCCCAAGAAGAGACATATAGATCAATGAGCCATAATAAAAATCCTAGAAATAAATCCCCAGCAAAGAGCAAAGGAAACCCAGTGCAGGAAAGATGGTCTTTTCGACAAATGGTGCTGGAACAACGTGGTGTCCATATAAGAAAATTTAACCTAAAAAAGGAGAACAGGACAATAGAGGAAGAATAAGTAACAAGGAGTAATCTGGTTACAGTACAATATATACATGTGTGAAACACCAAGGTGAAACCCCCTTGAACATCAACATACACTTAAAAAATGAAGAACAGCGGCCGGGCACCAGGGGCTCACACCTGTAATCCCCGCTACTCAGGAGGCAGAGATCAGGAGGATCATGGTTCAAAGTCAGCCCAGGAAAACAGTTGGTGAGACCCAATCTTGAAAAATCCCTTCACAAAAATAGGGCTGGTGGAGTGGCTCAAGGTGAAGGCCTGAGTTCAGCCCCCAGTACCACAAAAAAAAAAAATAGAAGGACAGGAAGGTTAAGACAGGTCCCATCTGGGGGTGAGTACCAGTGGGAGGGGGGAGGATGAAGGAGGGAGAATATGGTGGATCTATTTTATACGTGTATATGAAACCGAGCAATGAAACCTGTTCTAAGAAGCAGAGGACAGGGACTGAGAGAGTTTGATGGAGGGGAGAATGTAATTAAGATATACATATGCAAGTGTCAGAATGAAAACCCCCCCGTACATCTAATATATGCTAACAAAAATTCAAAGAATTGAAAAAAATCTACACACGGACTTACATCTTTCACAAAAATTAACTCAAATACAACACAGATCTAAATGTAAATACAAAACTGTAAAACTCCAAAAGCTGACATAAGAGAAAATCTAGATGACCTGAGGTATGCTGATCATTTTAGATTCTAAATGCATGCTTCCCAGAAAAAAAAAAAACAACCGATAAGATAAACACTTTTAAGATTAAAAACCTCTTTGAACTTGACAGGGGTGCACAGCAAAGAGTTTGCCTTGAGTCTCAGAGACACTGGACTTGAACTTGTGCTGAGACTGGGGACACTCTTGAGATGAGCTAAGTGCATTTTGATGATGAGATGGACATCAGCCTTTGGTAGCCAGGCGGGGAATGTCACAGTTTGGACATAAAACAACACCCCTCCCTTCCCCTCCCTCCCTCCCGACCCCCACCAAAGGTTCATGTTTTGAAGCCTTGGTTCCCAGCTGGAGATGCTATTGAGGGGTGACTGGGTCACAAGGAAGCTATCCTCACCCATCAATGGATCGCTCCACTGGTGAGTTCAAAGCTGAACGGGTGATTAGGGAGTGGGACCCATTGGTAGACATGGGTCAATAGTGAAGTGACTTTGACAGTGTATCTTTTCTCTCTCTCTCTCTACTTCCTGACCACCATGAGGTGAGAGGCTTTGCTCCTCCACCTGCTCTCCACCATGACACCCAGCCTCACCACAGACTGGATGGAGGAGCATGAGGCTCCTCGCAGTGCCTGACACTTGGTAGACGGTCAGGTTGCTCACTTGCTGTTGTTACTCTTATGAGATTACAGAGTAGAGGGAATGCTGGACGTTCATTGCTTTGAAAATGTTTTTCAGAGATCCAAAGAACGAGGGTGGAATTCTATCACGTCCCCCGGGTCTTCACACTATCTCAGCAATTGGCAGAATAGCTCAGATCCCCCATAGCAAGTACAGTCCACCGGGTGTGTGTCTCAGTAACGCTCGTCACAGCTCTGCAGAACCCACAGGGAAACATTGCTGGAGTCATCCATGCTGGCACCCCAAGACCAGTGTCGCCCTTCCAAAGCAATCACTCTCAAAGTGTGATCCTAGACCTGCAGCATCAGTATTTCCTAAGAACTTGCTAGAAATGCAAGTTCTCAGCATTGAGTCAGAAATCCTGGGGGTGGGCAGTGCCCTATGCTATCACAACGCCTTGGGGACACTGATATGATCAAGATAGAGAATCACTGATCTGAAGAAATCACAAGAGGTCAGAGACTGCAGTCTTCTGACTCTACACAGGCAAAGTTCACACTATTTTCAATGGGTAGAACATGATTTACAGGCTAGTAACATTCTCTAAACTACTTTTTGCATTAAAAGTCAGTATTTTCAGCTGCATGAGCAAAAGGACGGGAGACCCTCTCTGCATGGCACATCCCAGAACCAAGGATGTGAGCGCCAGGCGCGGCTTACCTGGCAGACGCCACTGAGGCACATGTCCAGGGAGTTGGTGTTGCAGCGAGTTCCATCCAGGACTTTGGGCGCCAGCTCCACTACCAAGTTCTGTCCCCGAGCGTGACACTTGAGCGCACACGGGGCAGTGGGGTCATTGTACCGCGGGATCCATTCATAGTAACGCCCCTGATACTGGACATCATTGTAGGCTGAGCATTGCTGGGCTCTGAAGTCCTCTGCGTCCACGGGGCAGTCCTGGAGGCAGACAGAAGGGGTCACTTGCATTACCCAGCGACAGGGTCAGCAGAAGGCTGGCCATGGCTACCAAAACCCCATGGATCAGGCTCTGCTTGCTTCTTTCTTGGGAGTCCCTCGTTCCTGCACTATCTTCCCTTTTGTTAAATTATAAATTGCATGTATAGCTATGGGGTTCCACTGGAAATTCCATACTGACCTATACATGGGATCCTCTGCTTAATTCTGCTCATTCTTCCACGCAGATATTTCCCCAGATAATTAAGGCTTGCAACACTCACTTAAGTGACAAGTTTTGCCCTAACTGAACCCAGCTTGCATAAAAGTTTCCAAATGCATTACACAATCTCATTTTGCAAACAAGGAAACCCAAATGCCTTTAAGTTATACAGTGATTCACAGTCTTCACAGAAACGTTAAGTGTTGGTCAAGACTCCAGGCGCCATATTGGTGGGAAGGATTTGGTCCCCATTTCAGTCCCAATCTGCTGAGCTTGGTGAGACTGGGTGGCTGTTTCTTTGTCTCTGTGTTGTTTCATTTATCTGCATTTTCTCCCTCCTCAGGCCCCACCCATTGCTCTCCACTGGTACCAAACATCTGCCTTCCTCTGGCTGCTGAATGGGAAGCAGATAACAGAGCTTGCCCAAAGTCTGTCTACAGCAAAAGCAAATAAACTCCAAGTAAACACACCAGGACACTCACGTGCAAAGAACGATAACTCAGGGTTCCTTTTACTAAGGCACTGATTCCTCCCTTCAGATATTTCCAAGGCCAAGATACTGGATGACAAAAACGTTCACTCATCCAAAATCTATTTGGGGCATATAACCTTCCCATTACAGAAACCAGAGGCCAGGTGCAGGGGCTCACGCTCGCAATTCCAACTACTCAGGAGGCAGAGATCAAGAGGACCACGGTTCAAGCAAGACCCCATCTCAACCAATAAAACCCAGGCATAGGGGTGCACGCCTGTCATCTCAGCTATGCAGGAGGTGTAAATAGGAGAATCACAGTCCAAGCTGGCCGAGGGAAAAATGCAAGACCCTATGTGAAAAATAACTAAAGTAAAAAGGGCTGGGACATGGCTCAAGTGACAGAGCACCTGACTAGCAAGTGAGGCTCTGAGTTCAAGTCATAGTACCAAAAATAAAACACAGATACAGAAAAAGGCAAAGGCAATAGATTACTTTATATTTTACTCTTATTATGAAAATAGCATTTCTTGTAAAAAAACATTGGGAAATAGTTTCTTAAAAAAAAAAGGGTAAGATGCAAATATTCTCCTATGTAAATCGTGATTATTTCCCAAGGACTAATTTCTGGAATTTAAATGTCTGTGTGTTTTATGAACTATTGAGAATATTGCCAATTGTGCTACAGAAAGCTATTCTTATTATTGAAGGCTTTTCTCAGTCCTCTTGCTAGTTGGGTATTAAATAAATTAAAATTATTATTAAATTTTTTCCAGTTGGAAGGAAATGTCTAATAGTTCACTGCTTTCACTTGTATTTCCTTCTTATTACTTAGATATATAATATCGACTCATATTTGTTTTAGTACCGATTCTTCAAATTTTTCTTCTTCTATGTTCTCATTTCTCTATTGGAATGCTTGTCTTTTGTTATTTTTAGCAGATCAAACTATTAACTTTCATAGTGAAGCGATCAAAATTTGTCATTTGTATTGGAAATATTTTCCCTCATTTAATTTTGCTTTTGGCACCTTGTACAGTCAAGAAGTTTAATTTTTTATGTAGACAGCTCTCTTAAGCTTCCCTTACAGGTTTCTTTCTTTGTGAGTGGGCAATAAATGCTTCCTGACTCTGCCTGGAGCACAGATAAATACTTAAAATGCATTTGTGTGGTTCCTTTATAGACTGGCAACCATATTTTCCTCTCGGTTCTGTCTGGAATTTACCCAGATGAATGTGTCAGGTAAAATTCTAGCTTTATCTCTCTTTACAAACAGTTGCTAATAAATTTTTGGCCATGATTTTAAAATATGGTTTCTTTCATTTCTCCCTTTTCTTATTACATTAGTACTGGATTTTCGTGTATGCTTTCTGCCCTTACAAAGTGCCTCAAATCCTTTGGGCATAAGTAGAGAATAAATAGGAGATAATTAAACTTTCCTCTGGGGTTAGTTTTATATGTGTATAGTTTTATATATATATATATATATATATATATATATATATATATGTAGTAGTTACATACACAGTTAAGTATGTATTGCTGTGAAATACTCCAAAATCCTACATTGTATCCATTTTTTTTACAGTTTTAGTGGAAAATAATCTTTTCTTTTTTTTTATGGTTGTGCTGGGGGTACATTGTGGCATTTGCAAAAGTTCTTACTTACAATATATCAAATACATCATGCTTGAATTCACCTGCTCCATCATTCTCCTTTATCAGCCCCCATTCCTGGAACAGTTTCAACAGGCTTGATGTCTGAAACCAGATTACATCTGAACTCAGGTCACACTTATGGGATCAAGTCACAGTGAAGAAGATGGAATTAGATGAGTCTTCTCTCTGGAACTGAGGACTCTGTCATCCATCTGGCCACAGCAAAGGTCTCTGATGCAATGACATCACCTCCTCTTTCTCTAACGGTGGCCAGATGTCTCGTATCTGACTTTTTGACCCAAAGAGAAGTGTGTGAGAGCAGAGAGCAACACCTCCCCTTGCACCAGGCTCACACTGTGGCAAACGTTCTCGTGGGACAGACTGCCCTCGATGTCTGACTCTGGACGTCCTTGACCTCCACAAGCCAATGAAGTTTCAAAAGAACCCATGAGAGGTAATTAATGGAGGTGGGCTATCTACCTGTATAACTTTGGTCTCCCTGAAATGATGGCCAGGTTTGTCCCCCTTGGCCAGAGCAGACTGCCCAGAGGCACAACCAGCTCTACTTTCCCAGAAATTTGAAATTGCAACAAGAGCCAGCGAATGAGAACCTACATCAGTCCAGGGCTCGGCCACCATTTCTTTCATAGGATGCATGCTGAAACAGAGCAAGGCAGTTCCCACAGCAGAGAAAAGTTAGAGAGGAAAGAAGAAGGGAAAGAAGAAGGGGAGAGGGAGGGGGTGGAGTGGGTGGTAAGGGAGGGGGTGGGGGCAGGGGGGAGAAATGAACCAAGCCTTGTATGCACATATGGATAATAAAAGAAAAATGGAAAAAAATAAATAAATAAAACAGGTCATGTTAAGGGAAGGAAACTAGAAGAGAGGGGAGGGTAAAAGAGGGTGAATATGGTTGATGTACTTTCTCTCTGTGGATAAAAATGAAACACTGAAACTAACTGAAGTTATTTTAAGAAGGGGAATGAGGTAGGATGGAGAATAATGGAGGGAATGAACCAAACTGGCATATAACATATGTGCATATGGAAATGTCACAATGAAAATCCTTGTAAAACTATCATATACTAATGAAAATGTTTTTAAAAAATAAAATAATATGAACACAAAAGTAAATTACTAGACTATGACTGGATTTCCCAAATTAATTTTCAAATAAGACTTCTTGCAGGATATTTCTATTGAAAGTAAACATATGTACAGATGTCAAGAGTACATAGGAAGTATTTGTGAAAATTAAAACTTGGTTGGTTTGCTTAAATTTAATTTAATCAATTTAATTAGTTGTATAATTTCAATCATATTTTATTTTGTCTTTGAAATAGATTTCATAGCCTACCATAAGTTCCTCCTAAAAGGCTTCCTTAAGAAGTATCAAGTAGCACACTTTTTATGCTAATAAAACAGGAGTTCTTTAAAACTATGCTTTTTACCTCACTGTTTAATATGAGAAGCAGATTGCTTTCTCTTCTTCAATTTATTGTGAGGAATTCTAAAATTAGTTTGTATGCTGTGCTGCAAACCTTTTTTGGTTGCAAAAATTTGTAAAGCAAATATGAAGGTGTTTCTGCTTCTGCAGTAGATTGGAGCACTTCCATCCATTTACATTTTGGAAATCACTAGCTGAAATAAAAAAAATAGCAATAAAAAAAAAAAAGAAGAAGAAGAAGGGAGGAGGGCAAACCATGCACCTCAATAGAAGGAGCACGTAGCTATGCTCCTCTCTTTCTCTTTCCTGGCTCTAGGCTTGAATTCCATTAAGCACACATCCAACCAAGGCATCCCACTGTTTTTGAGCTAATCTGAGTAGGCTTCCCTGTGCCCAGCAAATGATGACCCCTGGTGAGGACAGCCTTATTTCTGGATAGAGCCTCTGGCTTACCTCTTTTGTCCACCACACTGAGCTAGGGTGGTCAGGATTACCATTGCCCTCTCATAAGTGGGGGAGACAGTGACCTAGAAAGTTTCTGACCACCACGCAAGGACATACAACTGGCACAGGACAGGGTTAAGGTTGATCCCCAAAGTGGCCAGTCCTCTGTAATATGACTCAGCACAGGGGACAGGGGACGCTGACTACCTATGTTAAGCAATTTGCTTTACTTCACATTCCTCCAGCGTCAACACCAAGCCTGCTCACGTCTGTCCCAGCTCAAGACAATCTAGGACTTCCCGTGTCATAAACAGTCAACACTTTGGAAATTTAAATGCCCAACACACTCCTGCTTTCCTGTTCCTGGGAAGTATTTCTTCCTGACAGTTAAGCTCGAAGCAACACTCATTTATTAAATACACTTTCTGAGCTTTGTCTTGGAGAACCCCAAATGATATAGCTCACACTGTCGCTCGGTGAGCTGGGCACCCGTGTGCACAAAACACTGAAAGAGCAGTGTCACTGGTATCTGTAGATGACAGTAAGATCCAAGAGTTAAATTATAAAACTGCTTAGAAGGTGTTCATAAGGAAAGAATAGATCCTAGATCAGCAAGTCTGGACTCTGAGCTGAGAGAGCTAATTAATCTAATTTAAAAAGCAAGAGGTATGTCTCAGGAGGAAACAGGCAGCTTGGGAAGCAGAGAAAAGGAAGAGGAGAAGGGAGGGAGAAGGGGAGCACAGGGAGAGTGGGAGGAGGAGGAAGAGAAGGAGGAAAGGAAAGGGAAGAGAGAAGAGGGAAGAAGCAGCTGTCGCCATTAGCGAAAGGTAACTAGCAGCCATTGAGGGACCATCCTGAGAACGGGGTCTCCTTCCCCTCCTCACGCCGAGGAGATGTGTAAACCATGTGAGTTACTTAAGGCAAGAAGCCAACACAGGAGGACTATCTAATAAACTGAATATTTATGCAAGAGACAAGCCATTTATATAATAGGATTGTGCCAAGCTTTAATTTGGATCAGACATTTCCCACCAGTGAAAAGGACCTGGAAGACAGAACGCTTTTGTGATAAGTAAATTTAAATTTTTAAGTTTTATCTTCCTATCCAAGTTATAGTAAAAATTAAATTTTGTGATCCTTTACGTAACCAATGATAACATTTCTACTGTAAAAATACAGAATGGCAGGTGGCCACCATAAACTAGAGTTAGCAAAAAAGGCGTTAGGGGAAAGTGAAATCTCAGATTTGATTGAAAAGATGTGTGATGTAAACAGGGCAGGTTGCGGGAAACACCGCGAGCAAATGAGAACCGGAAGGAATAAATTCAGTGTCTGGGGAAAGTGCAGGGGCTCACCCAGCAAGTGCGAAGGTTGTGAATTGAGTAAGAGATGCACCAGCCGATTTCTGAAGGACCCTGGATACCAGTGAGGGAAACTGGAGGGCAGTAAAGATGCACCCAGGAGAGTGACACAGAGAAGGTGGCATTTCAGAAGGACCAGGTGTGACTGCAGGACAGCCTGGAGGTCTGGGGACAGATACAACAGGAGGTGGCTCTTGACCAAAGCAGGAACAAGAGTAATGGAAAGCAAAGAGGGTCTCCAAGAGAAATCCCAAAAGCAGCACTGTCAGAAATTAACCACTCACGGGCTCTAGGACATGAAGTGTCCTTCAAGCTCCCCCGTCAAATGTCGCCTGGGGAAGCCATCAGGGAGCCCAGAGAACCCACTGTGTTCATAAAAACATGTGCACTCTTGCCAAACTGTGACGTACTGCACAATTTACAAATATTTTCCCTCGGCCTCTTCCAGCATCACCTTTAATCCTATAAACCCTGGTATTAAAAAACCTGCGAATTCAGAGGATTCAGGTCTTAGACCTCCCGGTGACATGCACGACTTCCCTTGGAAATTCCCCTTTGCTGATAAACCCTTGGTAAGGATAAATCGTCACGGAGCCTTGGGGCCCGGCCCAGGCTGAGCTGAGTGACACTTCAGTCTGAAGGCGCCAGTCACCTGGGAGCCATGGGGCTCCACAGCTGCGTCTCCCCACCAGAGGGAGCACAGCTGGTGTCTCAGGGAGGGCAATGTGGTCCCCAAGGCCCGACAGAGCCCCCCACTCCTGCACGTGGAGGACGGAGCGCCCTCAGCGGTGGGCTCGAGAGCACGTGCGTCCCTTTCGTGTGGCCGAAAGAGCATCTGATTTTCCCCGGGCGCCTGCAGCCTTTTCTTTTTGGGGTGTTCTGTCGTGGTGGGCAGGAGATGCAGCTGTGGGCGTGTAAGCAGGAGCCTCTCCTGGTGGAGGACCCGCTTGGGGCTGCAGCAGGGGAGGACTGATGGTCACGGGGGGCTTCTTTCTCCCGCTTCCCTTCAGTAGCTGTTGGTTCCTTCCCTGCTCTTCCCTGACCTTTGTCCCTTGATAACTGAGTACGCAGGTCTGTCCTACCGTTCCAAGGGATGCAGGGTCTACAATGGCATCTTAGTGTGTCACGCTCCTCCAATTACACCATCAACTGTTGCATTCGTGTGTGATTAAAAACTCCACACGTCAGTCCCTGTTGTCTGGATGTCACAAAGCTGGGCCACCCCAAGCTCCTTTCCAAGAGAACAGCCCCACTGCATTCAGATCTCCACATTTCAGAGTTCCCTTTTAATTCCTGTCATTTCCGTTTGGGTTGTACCACTTAGCCAGGGGACCGTGGTGAATAGAAAATAAAATGGCTTCTTAAAAGAAAAATATTCCCCGAAATGCTTTTCGTGCTGACTGATGATAAGAGTCAGGTTTGCAGAAATCCTTCCTTCTGGGTGATTCTCTGGGGAGTCACCTGCACACACTTTGCCGCTGACACAAGATGGTCAGCAGAGATGGAAACAGCACCTGCCAAGTTCAAGTTCGCAGTCTGCCTATGGGACCTTCAGAAAATAACTTTACACCTCGGCCTCAGTTCCCTCACTGGCGTATGAGAAATAACCACACTTCGTCTGCCCCATGGCGTCAGGTGAAATACTGCACATAAAAGCACTTTGAACTTTGAAGGTGATTTTGCGTATTGTTTTACTTCTACTAATCCAGAACTGCTAACTACTTAACACGTCTGACCGGGAGTAGAAAACAGGTAGAAAGGTAGCATAAATGGAAGGGAGCCAAAAGGTATCATCAACTAAACAAATATGCAGATGTTCCACAAAGGCTACCGAGACACCCCTGGCTTTACAGGACATGGAACAGTAAGCCAGAGTGAGATTTTGTCGGGTTGCATATTCTCAAAGGACTTACGTGATTGCTGCATGTCTTGTACCGAATGTTCTGCCCTTCACAGCTCCTAAAGGAAAGAAGAAAACAGTGATTTCATAGCAGTGGCGAGCAGAAGAAAACTCAAAGTCAAGGTGCAAGTTCTGTAGAAAACTGCTGCTGGCGCCCATTATCTCAAAGACTCCAGGGTTAAATCCCGTGAAGTAACTGCTGAGGAAGAGAGGAACAGTCCCAAACCTTCCTGTCTCCAAAAGCGTCGCCTAATGGAGCTGAACTCTGAACTTGAAGACGGGTGACATATCCAACTAGTTGTTCCTCCCAGACTGTGGTCTACACCACCTTTCCAGATGGTGGCAATGGTTGATCAAGTCTCCATATTTTATAATTATATATATATGTATTTTTTTTTTTACTGTCATAGGTACATTTTTGAAGTTGTTAAAATCTTCCTAACAAAATCTTCCTGGAAGCACCCAATGAGGAGGGTGACAAGAAGACCATGGAGGTGGGGGGGGGTCCTTTGGATGGAGGGAAATGACTCCAGGCTACCAGGAGGCACCAGCCATGCCTGTGGACAAGGCCACTCACTCACAGGACTGGTTTTATTTTGATTTTGTGTAGACTAAAAAAATAAAATAAATAATAGTTAATGTGAAAGGATATTTTAAATTGCTCCATGTATTTTGGGGAAAGCCCCAATTGAGGGAAGTTGGTATTAGATGAGGGTAACAAAGCTTTTGTACCACCCTGAGTCACAGTCCTAAAATGCTTTTGCTTCTAGCTTCAAGGGGACAGACAAACAAATTCAAGAGACAAGGCTAAAGAGAGTATTTGATGACAGAAATACTGAGATACAAAAGCTGTTGAAATGCACAGAGTGGCAGTTTCTTTAGAAGTGTTTTTGAAATTCAGAAATAATTTTTCAGATGCATTTCAGTGATGATTTTAGTTATTTAAATAAAAATATTTCGGGGAAAAGAAATTTAAACTGAGAGGGAGGGAAAGAACAGCAGTTGTCTCAGGCCCACTGTGTAGAGCAGACAGCTGTGGTCTACACTCTTCCACCCTGTGTACTGACTGAACTCTGAGTCTCCCACAGTCACTCACTTGCATCTTGAGAGTTGAGTCCAAAAATCTTAAGTTAAGGCTGGGCACAGTGGCTCACACCTGTAATCTCGGCAAACCAGGAGGCGGAGAATCATGGTTTAAGGCTAACTGGAGGAGAGGGGTCATGGGAATTTATCAAGACCCATCTCAACAAAGAATTCAGGGCTCACATCTGTAATCCCAGCTATGGGGGAGGCATCGGTAGTGGGACCAGTGCCACCACAACTGTCACAAAGTGACATGGAAAAAGAAAAATGTTCCTTCTTCAACAACTTCCCATGGCAAACCTGGTAGGCACCAGGACGTGGACATAAAAATACCAGGACACATGCCCTCAGTTCCTTCACTAGTCAGTGGTAAAGGGTTTTAAAACCAGCCATCTGGCCGCCATCTTTAACACTGTATGTCACCTTGTCCAACACAACCCAGGGCCGGGGCCATGACTCCTGGGTGTCCATTGCTTTGGTTAGAATTTGGTATGAAAATGAATGACTCCTTTATGAAGCAAGCATAAAATGAAATACAAGTTATTTTAACATTAAGGACATGGGGGTCCCTAATTCCCCAAGAAGGAACAAGCCGGTTTATTCTGGACATAATTCTGCTTGCCCAGTGCAGCTGAGCTACAGAAATATCACTCGCAAGTTTTAATGCCATTGTAATGAGTGTGTGCAGGGCTAACGGTTGTCAGAGCAATGAAAACTCCTTGCCAGTGATGTTTTCCGTCCTTTCCAACATTCGCAGCACCCCGAAACTGAACAGTTTTGAAGCTGTAAATTTAGGAATATATAAAAAAAAATCTGCTGACTCCACCCGAGGATATTCATAAAACTTCCCTAGAGTTTATAGCGCTATAATTTATCACACTCATTTGACGATAGACTGACTCAAATACAAGTGTCATAAAGACTGAGAAGCATGTGTTTTGAAGAATAAAAATATATTAATTTTTAGAGTTAAACCTGAGCTCCCCATGGTTGGCACTTGACTGGAATATCAAGTTCCAAATTCCTGCAGGAGAAAGAGACATTCTGGCTGGTGCACCGTTTGCAGAGCAAAAACGGACTTGAGTGTTTAAATGTCACCGACGTCTGAAATAACTTTATTCACAAAGAAATACACAGCCACGTGCACCCATTTCCCTGAATCATGAGTTTAACAGGCCACTGATGAGACAGGAGGCACCCAGTGCTCCCGGGAAGCTCTGGGGTGGCTTTCTGTTTGGTCACCCTCATGTCCTCTTCCAAGAAAAACCGACCACGAGGGCTCACTCTTTATGAAGCTTTAATAGGTCTCTCCAGCCCCTGAAGGAGAAAGGCTGCTAAGCCTTCCCAGTCGCTCAGCAATGGCAGAGCAGGCTCTCCATAGGGCAGGGAGCAGGGATGATGACGGTTTATCTGGGAATAAAAGGTGCAGAGCAGGAATGCTTGAATTGTTTAAACGCCTGCAAGCCCGCTCCGGAATGCATCAGTAAAATCTATGCAGGAAAATGAAGCTTCTTAGACATGGGACAAGTGGACTTGCCCCAAGAGGACAGCCTCGTGCCAGGAACCAGGCTGGGAGCTGGGCTTACACTGTCACCCTCCCCTGACTGTTGGTGCCAGAAGACACACTCTGCTCTCTGCTACTTAATTACACATATGTGTACGTATGTTATATTATATAATTATATGTGATTATACAATATACACATGTATCATTTATGTTATGATATATTTACACATGTATATGTGTACATGTATATGTACGTGTGTATAAATATGTGTGTATATATACATTTATAATTTAGGGTATATAATTTATAATTTAGGGTTTCTAGTGTCTTATTTTTGTGCAGATGAGATGACCTCAGGGGGAGGACAGAGTTGGAGGTTCACAGGTCTAAGAGCAAATTTCAGAACAAGTGAGGATTTGTATATAAATGGTATATATTATATTTTGTAGCATAAGGAATACTATATAGGTGTGTAAAGTGAAAATTTAAGCCAGTACTGTGCTACATTGATCTATGTGCACCCATCCCACCACTGTAGATAAATAGATTTTCGTCTATTTTGCTCTTCTTCAAAACTGTTCATTATCTGTATATTTCCAAGAATCAGTGATTCTTGGAATTAGTCTTGAAGATCCATCTAGGGAACCCTGCATTTTTATGCTGAGACTCTATGAGTTTATTCCCTCTCTGCATTTATTTAGACATGCTTTTAAATTCTCTCACAGAGGTCTTGCACAACTTTTCCTGAATTTATGACAGGGTTCTCTATATTTTGTTAGTAGAATAAATGTTACTGCCTTTCTGAAATTTGCGTTCTGTTCTTTGCTCTGGGTAAGAGCAGGTTGTCTGTGCCCTCACCTTATTCCTGCAATCCAATGACTCCTTCATTGTTGCATGCGTGGGAAGCCTTGGATTTCCCGTGTGCACAATCGGGTGGTCTCTGAAGAATGACTTACTTCTTCTTTTCTGATCCCTGCTCTGTATTTTTCTTGCCTCACTCCACTGACCAGGCCCTGAGTCCAGGAGTGAATGTGGGCAGTGACAGCTGCGTCATTAATTCACATCAGAGTTGAGGACAGGCCAGCTCTCTGAGAAGGGCCACACCTGCTGGACAGCAAGACAGCCTCCCTGATCCTGGCTTGCAAAGATTTTTCTTTTCAATCGAAAGTATTGTTTTTTATCAAACACACTTTCCACCAAATGGAAAACAGTGTACTTCTCTCTTAAGCCATCACCATATTGCTTGCAATGCAGATGTGGATCACGCATTTTAGGACTGCACACCTTTTTTTTGGTAGCACTGGGGTTTGAACTCAGGGCCTCGTGCTTGCTAGACAGGTGCTCTACCACCTGAGCCACTCTGCCAGCCTTGCACATTTATCTTTAAATTTCTTAAGTTGCAGACCTGTCTTCCAGAGGGGCGATGTCAACTGACATGCCCCTCTCACCGATGCGAGAGTGACCGAGTTTCTCTGTAGCCTTGCCAGAATTTCATGTCGTCAACTCTGTTTTCTGTTAGACATTCCAACAGACTCACAACATCTCAGTATAGTCTGATTTTGCAACCCTTGATCTTGTGTGTGTGTCTGCCATTTCTGTATTCTGTTTTGTAAGATGTCTGTCATATCTTTTACTCATTTTTCTAATTGGATTATTTCAAATGCCGATTTTGGAGTTCTTCATACACACGCTCATCTTCTGTCAGCCCTGTGATTTGCATCTTCTCCCACTGACTTTGTTTACCCTCTGCTGACCATTCTGCATTACTGTGGCTGACTAAGTCTTGATATCAGGCGAAGTGACTTCCCACTCTGTTCTTTTCCTTTTCAAACTATTTTAGCTGTTTCGGGGCCTACGCCTTCATATATAAACTTCAGGACAATCTTGCTTCTGCTACAAAGACAAGTCTCTCCGGAATTTGGAGAGAAGTTGGTTTCAACCTATAATCCATTTGGGGACAACAGAGAGCTTCATCATGTTGGGTGTCACAACCCAGGAATTAAGCCATCATTTCTTCAGATCCTCATTCATTTCTTTCTGTGGCTTTGCAATCCCATGCAAGTTTGGATGGATCCAGGCACATCTGGCTTTTTTCTTTTCCTTTTCTTTTATTTCTTGCCAGTACTGGGGTTTGAACTCAGGGCTTTGCACTTGCAAAGCAGGCGCTCTACCGCTTGAGCCACTCCTCCAGTCCATTTTGCTTGGTTATTTTGGAGATGGGGGTCTCATGAACAATTTGCCTGGACTGGCCTTGAACCCTGATCCTCCCAATTTCAGCCTCCCAAGTAGCTGGGATTATAGGCGTGAGCCACCGGCGCCTGGCTCAGGCTTTTTTTGAGTGTTTATAAGTGGAACCGTGTTTTAAATTTTGACGTCTACATGTTCATCATCTCCAGTAAGAGAAATACAGATTTCTGGATCTTTACTCTGAAGATTTTTGTGTGTTTATTCTGCTAAGTTCACTTTTT